TTTAATTCCAGCACTTGGGAGGCAGAAGCAGGTGGATCTCTGTGAGTTCAAGGCCAGCCTGGTCCACAGAGTGAGTTCCAAGACAGCCAGGGCTACACAGAGAAATCCTGTTTCAAAAAACAAGCAAAAACAAAAACAAAACAACAACAAAAAGAGTTAGTCTAGAACTGGTGAAAAGTTAGGAGCAATACTTCCAGGCAAGCGTCTTGCTGCATTTCTTCACTTCTTGGGGCCAGTCAGAGAGTTTGGCTGGGGATGAGCAGAGAGCTGGACTCAGCTGGGGCCTGGCGTATAGGGGAAGAAAGAAGGAAACTTTGCAGCTGGACTTGGGCTGTGACCGTGGACCTCTTTAAAGCTTAGTTTCTCCTTATATAAAATGGGGGTAACGCCACCACGCCCAACACACTGAAAAGATCAAGTCGGATCATGAGGTTGACCCTTGGACCTCAGCGACTGCTTTATAATTACACTGGACTTCATGGCCGAGCCTATTCTTCCAACGACTAGGGTGGCCACCTTGGGATGATCCTAAGTTCAAAGCTTGTGTGAGTTTTGAGTAAGACCCTGTTTCAAAAAAAAGAAGAAGAAGAAGAAGTAAAACAGAGGCCTTAGGCTATAACTCAGCAGTAGAGTGCTTGCCTGGCCAGAAAAAAGAAAAAAAAAAAAAAGATTGTCTTCTCTCAGGATTTCTGCATTGAAATATTTGTTTCTGAACCATGTGGGTGGCTTATAGCTGAGTTTCTTCTACCCACCACTCATCCACCCAGGCATCTCTCCCTGCTGAGGGGCAGGCTGGCATTGTAAAAGCATAAGGGGGTCTGGGTGAAGCAGCTAGCCTGGAAAGAGCATAGGAGGGCGTACCACAAGTGAGATGGTTCGCTCCATTTGCAGCCTGGCAGGGGCACAGTGTATGCAAAGGCGCAGGAGCCTGGTCTTTGCATGGTGGGGGAGCTGCTAAAAGGAGGGCTGTTTCCAGCCGCCTCCCGAACCCATTTCTGGCTCTCTGCAAGCCAACCTCTGGTCAATGAAGCATGCACGCCCCCTGCTGGACATTAAGGCCAACTGCCTGTTTAGCTTTGGAGACTCCCGACTGCGAGGACTGGGAAATCAAGTATCCATAAAGGTGAACTTGTAATAGAGGAGGCTCTCTGTATAGAGCAGGAATTTGAAGTTGTGACTCCATGACTGTAAGTGCCAGGGGAGGGGGGCCTCTCCTCTGGGAGAATCCTGGCAGCTGAGCCCCAACTGGAGCTTGCATCCAGTTGGGGCTTGCTGGAGGTAGGATCGGGTGGGAGGCTGTGGAGAGCAGAGGGAGGGGGTTTCAGATTCCCTTGCCTCATCTGGCCAGCTTGGTTCTGGGATTTCCTGTTTTGTCCTGGATAAGCCTCAGGGGGTAACCTGATAGCCATGAAAGAGAACTCAAAATGTAGGCACCAGTGTGTGTGTGTGTGTGTGTGTGTGTGTGTGTGTGTGTGTGTGTGTTGAAGGGTGCTATAGACTGTCACCAACAGGTGCCCTGAGCTGGTGACATCACCCTGCTAACACTCTGCTGTTCCTTTATAACAGTGTCCTCACCTCTCCATCCTTAGGGTTGTCACTGTGAACTTGTTCTGGCTTCTCCAGCGTCAGGTGGCAGAGAGGCAGGGCTGGGTGGGGCACAAAGGCGGGGCAGATGGGTGGATGGTGGAGCTGGGTGGACTCAGATTTCCCATAAGGCTGGAACAGGGAGGTAGGAGAGCTGTTTGCTGAGGGGGCTGTCTGAGACCTTATCCCAGGGAGGGGTGATGCCCCTCAGGGTCGTGAGGAGCCAGGGGAGCGCCTATGGCATGTATGGGGCTCTGTGACTGCCTGACCTCTCCCAGTCTTTCTTCCTGGCTGGGCTGCAATGTGCTGGCATGTGCATGCATGCTTCTGTGCACAGGTGCCCATCTTCATGTGCTCTGCATGTGAATGCCTGGGAGCTGGAACAGGATCACTAGGGATGGGAACCCTGTTGGCTTGACTCTCCCAGAAAGGGGTTCATCTGCACTGGGAGTTGCCCTGTGGGCTTCATTCTTCTTGTATACTCTCCTTGCTCTGGCCATGCTGGCCCTAGCTGGCCTTCCATGCCCACGAATTGCCAGGCTCCTCCCTGTGACTCCTCCTACAAGTGGGTGTCAGACAGGTGGGACCCTCCTGTGTGATGTCATCTTCCCAGGGGTCCCCACCTGACTACTTTTCCCAAGGCCTCTGGGCCCTGGCTAACACTCTGACTCTGAGGCATGCCGCCCTCTTTTGGGTCTGCCTTAGAGTCCCACCCCTGTCTTGGATTGAGCTCTGGAGTGGAACCTCGTGTGTCCCGCCTGTCCTGGGGTGCTGAGGGACTGATCCCCAGCTGGTTTGGAGAAACAGTCCTGCGCATGCGTCAGCATGTGGGAGACAGCCCCTGGTATTCCCAAACAGTAAGTAACAGAAGGCCACGTGCTCAGGCCCCCACTTCTTCAAGTTCACTTTACCATCACCCCACCAAGACAGGGGTGGGTTGGGGGTGGGGCACTATTGTCCCACTTGACAGCTGGAGAAACTGAGGAGCAAGACAAATACCCATTATTGCCCTTATCTTCCCAGCAGGGTCAGGAGACTGGGCATGGCGGCACATGCCTGCACTCCCAGTACTGTGTGGGTCAAGGTAGGAGGATTGGAAGTTCAAGGATATCCTTGGCTAATAGTAGGTTTGAGGCCAGCCTGGGCTGCAAGAGACCCTGTCTCAAAACAGACAACCAACAGGAAGTCCAGGTGCAGGAGGGCTGGGAGGAGGAGGGCAGACGGCCCTGGGAGGAGCCAGGAGTTGCTGACATTGAGTCAGCGGGCCTTGGCCATTCGGCTCTGGTTGGAAGTTGCCAGGCCAGAAGGCAGCCTGGCACTGCCAAATCTTTGAACTTTTCAAGAGAAGCAGATAATTTGGATTTTTGATGTGAAATCTGATTTTTAAAGCATTGGCAACAATTTAAAAAGAAAAAGAAACAAAGAAGGCTGTGTGGGCAAACAGAGGCCATTTGTGGCCTGTGCCTGGGCTCGTGGGCTGTAGCTTTGCAATCTGCGGAGTGTCCAGTTGCTACAGACCCCTTCCTGTCCAAGGCTCTTCTTAGAAATGACTCTCTGCTGAGTGATTACTGTGCTCTAGGCCATATATGAGGTCATTTAACCCCCTTGCACTCCTGTCCCCCAAGATCTCCTGATGTATAATATCCCAGGGGGACATATTATCGCCGCAAGGCAGGTGGGCGAGCAGAGACTCAGAGAGGTGAATTGTTCAGGGTCGCATACGCTTCTCCCAGCGTCCCTCAGTGCTGCAGGCTGTGTGGGAACCTGGGGTCTGTTGAGCAGTGGCCTGAGGAGGCAGCTTGAGGCTGGGCCTCTGCCAGCAACCCATCATGGATGATGCTAACAGATGCCCCTCCCCCCTGAGGTCCTGCTGAGTGACTGCTTTGAAACAAGCTTGATATGATGGGGTTCGGGCAGACTCCCCCCCAGGTCAGCAGAGCCACTGTCAACTTGTTCTTTCCAGCATTATGGAGAATTTCTCCAAATTGTGTGCTTCTGAGGACTTGCCTGCCTAGCTCAGGTGCTGTGTGTCACGTGTCTGCCCATCTGAGGCCAGGAGGCTGCAAAGTGCACACCTTCCTGCCGGCTGACTCGGGTGTCCGCTGGGTGGGTTCTGTCTGTGTGCACCATTGACTGGGCAGGTGTGCCATAACTACACAGGGGCGCATGTGTTTGGTGCTTGGACATTGGAAAAGTGTAAGGGTTTAAAAAGAATTGAGGTTTATGTCACTCGCAGAAAGCAAGTACATCTAAGATAGAAATTTATACTTATAAACATGTGGCTATGACCAGGGTTCAGGGGCTCCCCCTGCCCTGCAATGATATCTGCCGGGCTGGTTGCTGTTCCAGCCTCTGTCACTGTGGGGCTTCAGTTTTCCTGGAGTTTTTGACCTTGATCCTGGTGTACCAGGTGTTTATTAGATTTGTGCTTTCAAGTAGCAGCCACAGCAGGGAGGTATTTGGAAGGACTTCCAGGTGGATGGATGTTAGGAGAGTCTGGGACTCATGCCCTCAGGGAAGCTGCAAAGAATCTTCTGATGGGAAAGGCAGGCAGCAATAATTAAAGTGGCCATTGCTTATGCTGTCCAGAGAATTGATTTTCTCTAAGTGCCACCTACCCCTGTACAGCTGCTCCCCATTTTGAGGAGAGAGACTGTGGTAGTTTGAATGTAATTGGCCCCCATAAGTTCATAGGGAGTGGCACGCTTAGGAGGTGTGGCCTTGTTAGAGTAGGTGTGACCTTGTTGGAGGGAGTGTGTCACTGGGGGGTGGGGGGTGGGCTTTGAGGTTTCCTATGATCAAGCTACGCCCAGTGTGGCAGACAGACTACTTCCTGTTGTTTGTGGGTCAAGATGTAGGACTCCGAGCTCCTCCTTCAGCGCTGTGTCTGCCTGCAGGCCACCAGGTTGCGCCGTGATGATAATGGACTGAACCTCTGAAAATATAAGCCACCCCAATTAAATATTCTTCCTTTATAAGAGTTGCTGTGGAGCCAGGCGGTGGTGGCGCATGCCTTTAATCCCAGCACCTAGGAGGCAGAGGCAGGGGGGGCTCTGTGAGGTTGAGACCAGTCTGGTCTACAAGAGCTAGTTCTAGGACAGGTTCCAAAGCTACACAAAGAAACCCTGTTTCGAAAAACAAAAAACAAAAAACAACAACAACAAAAAAAGTTGCTGTGGTCATGGTGTCTCTTTGTAGCAATAGAAACCCTGATTAAAACAGAGACTGAGGCTCAATGAAGGCAATAAGGTATCCAGGCTCATAGAGTGGTCAGGATTTGAACCCAGGTCCACCATCTCCCAGATCCTTGTCTTCTCCCCACATCTCTCCACTGTCCCTGTGCATCAGTAGTGACCTCTTGCTGGGGTTGGGATTTCACTCCTGGGGGCTTGAAACACTCTTCTCTGTCCCTTTAGGGTATCCATTCTACCTGCAGGTGAGTGTCACTGGTATCCTAGCACTCCCAAAATGGAGGATCTAAGGAGACCTATCCTGAATGTGCCCCTGGGACCCCCGTGACCCACCCCTTAGGCTGTATGATGGCTCTCAACTAATGCATGTCCACCCTGATACCCACCCACCTGATCCTCACCCTATTGGTTGAAGCCTGGTCACTCTTAGGAATGTGGCTATGACAGTATTGTTTGTGCCAGCCATGGTTTCAAAATGGTGGACCCCAGGGTCTCAAAAGGGGACACAGACTTCCACAGGCTGGGAGAGGACATTGGCCACACTTTTCCAGCTTAGAGACCCCGGTTGCTCCTGTCATCATGGACCAGTCGAAAGGCACTATGGTGCCATAGAGACTGGGGTTTTCAGGAACACAGGAAATGAAGTCGAATCCCATCTCTACCATGTATTTAATGTATGGTCTCAGGTAAGGCATTTGCCTCATGTGGCCTCACTTACTTTATCTATCAGATAAGAACAGAGTGAAGTCACTAATAACTGTGGCCAGGTCAGGAGTGATGACACTGTCCAGTTGCTGTCATCCACCCACTATCTCCACAGAAGACTATTGGAGGGGGTACTGCATCACCCCATTTTATGGAGGAGAAGGCTGAGGCTCAGAGCGACTCAACAGTCAGCTCAGAATCTTCCATTGGCTCCTGGCTTCTCCCCGATCTGACTCCACAGCCGAGAATGCTTAACCAGGTGGGTTATCCCGATGCTTAACAGTCGGCCTGGCCCGGGCCCCATGCCATCAAAATAGATGCCCGCTGGAAATAAACCAGCAGTGTGCTCGCCCAGGCCCTCACATCCGTTCCACCCTTGACTGTGTTAAATGGGATTAGTTCGGGAAATGAGATTACTGATGTCCGGCGTCTTGGGGAGTCACAGAATACCCTGGAAACCCCGGGGTTTAGTTCTTCCTATACAGTGGGGAAGAACAGGCCGGTGAGTCAAGAGACCTGGGCTCCAATCCTGGCTGTCAGGCGCTTTCTGCCAACACTTCACTTCTCGGAGTCTCTGGTGATTAGCTCCAAACCCGCTAAGCAGCTGGTGTCCATTAGCACCCGTCAGGTTATGTGCTAATTACAAACGGCTGAGCCTGGAGGCCTTCGGTGTGGCCACTGTTTGCTATGTCATTCAATGAGGGGGCTCTGTCCTCTAAGCCGAACTTATTACAATCCCCTGCTGCCATTCCCTCATAGAAAGAAGGGGTGGGAGGGTCCTCAGACCCTCACCTGACACTCTGGCCACGCCCCCAGCCCCTCCCAGCTAGCCGTACATAATTCTACCCTAACTGCAGGGGTTCAGGAGGCGCTAGAGTGTGGAAGGCTGACTGAGGCAAGGATCCCATCTCTGGGATCCCATTTCCCCAAGTTGGACTTTGGGGAAATCATACCTCGGTCTGGCATTGATGAAATCTGGGGTGGGGTGGGGTAGGGCAAGCATTTGCCTCTATCCTCCCCAGTAAACGTTCACACAACAGTCTGTGAGAAACACATATAGTAGGTGCAGTATGTAACCCAGAAGGTTCCCACCAGTCTACACACCAGCGGAAGTACCCCAATGTGAAGAAATGCCAGCATGCCTGTCTCCCCCAGGTTTCCTGTTCCCCTCGGCCTTAGACCTTCTTTTTGACCTTATCTCCCGGGAACCCTGATGTATGTTCTACCAAGCTAGATCATCCTCTTTTCCTAGCTATCTAACTAATGAAGTCATTCACTGCAGCCGCGATGCCCTCCTTCCTTCCTGCAGTGTTTGATGTGACCCCACTGCTCTGTTCTTCCTATTGCAAATGTCGACTGCAGGGATCAGTGACGGTTCCATTTCCCACTCATCTAGAGGTGCACGTGTGGGCCCTTCCCAGTTCTGGCTATTATTATACGTAGAGCTGCTGGCGGGGAGAGGGGCAGCTATGGAGATGGCTCAGTAAAATGCTCGCCATGCAGAATTGAGAACCTGTGTTCCATCCCCATGTAAAAAGGCTGGGTGTTATGGTGTACATCTCTAATCCCAGTATTGGGAAGGCTGAGACAGGGGGCTGTCTGGGGCTTACTGGATAGCCAGCTTAGCTGAGTCAATGAACTCTAGGTCTTGGTGAGAGGCTCTGCCTCAAAAACCAAGATGACTGGCTCTGGGGAAGGCTGTCTGAGGTGGCTTCTGGTCTTCACACGTATGCACACTTTCACATGAATGTGTGCCTGTGTCACTCCTCATACAAGCATTAACGGCGTTGGGAACACCTCTGTGTGGTTGTGTTGGGTGGTCACATGTCCTTATTTCTCCATGCAGGAGAGGGTCTGACCTCTGACTGTTGATCGCTGACTCTGTCCAGGGAGTTCTAGCCCACAGGACTTGTGCTGGGGGCAGGGAGATCATGTTGGTTCTTTATTATTAAGTTGCTTTTTACACAGGCTTTCAATATGGAGCCCAGATTGGCCTCACATTCAATACCCTCATACCTCAGCCATCTGAGTACTGCTATAACAGGTGTGTGTCACCAGACCTGTCTAAAGCACGAGGCTTCATTTGGCCTAAGGTGGATGGGGAAGAGCCAATGTGAGGAGAGGCTGACCATTGGGCATCACCACCTGCATGCTGATTGGTCTTAAGAGGCAGCAGAGAGCAGAACAAGGTCCAATCAGAGAGGCTCTCAAAGATGCAGGTTTTGTCAGTATTTTGGAGAGAACATTCTGTCTGCCAGTTCTGCCTAAGGCTGAGGTGGCTTTCCTTGTGGAGCTAGTGCTCCTAATTGCTGGAGTGGCCGTGTCTCGGCTGTCTCCCAAGATTCCTGGCTGTTGAATTCTGGGAAATTCTTCTGATGTTTAAAGTACCAGTGACTGCTCCCCTGTCGGGACCACACCAGACCAATGATGGTGGGACCATAGTCCCTGTAGACATTATGTCCGCACAGATACAGGATGCCCCACAGATGGTGTCTGCCTGGACATTTAGGTTGTTCTGTGTTCTCTGATACGAAATGCTACAATGAACATTTTTAGCACATAAAACTTTTGCCATATACAACCAGTTACATGTCTCCTCAGAGGAGTGGGGAGGCCTCAGGTACTCAACCCCTGCCATTAGACTTTCTAGAAAGCTCATACCGCAGCTTCATCATTGATATGTGAGCCTCTTGTCTCACCCGCATTACTGGCGGGTTTGCTAGCTGGGTCACATTTTCCTGTCATTTGTGGGGCACCTGTGACCTTGGCTCTGTGTGCATGTTGGGACAATGCCCGGGAGTCACAGTGCTGAAGCAGCAGCCCTGTTGTACCAGGCCTCTTGGGGACTAAACTGTCAGGAAAGAGCCGTGTTGCTTTATTTAAAATGAAGTGGATTCTAAACAGCACTTAAAAACACATTAATAATGGTGTTGGTGTGTTATTCATCTTGGAAAAGTGACAGATGTTTCCCTCAGCAAATGGCTGAAGGGGGAGTGTGAGGTAGGGAGCTTGGGGATTGATTAGCGCCTGTCAAGGGGCCCATTACAGTTGCCTGGTCACCTCCCCTCTCTGCCTGTCCCCTCCTCCCCCCAATGCTTATCTAGATTATCGCCCTCAAGTATTTGGGGGTGGGGGGGCTGGGTGCTCGACTGGGCTACTGTTCCCTGTATTTTAGGATCAGTACTCTGACTTCCTTTGGGGGTCATATCTGTCTCTTCCTCCAGCCCCATTCCAGCGGCAGGCTCAGGGTGGCCTTGGGCGAATTGTTCCAAGATGAGCCAGTGTTTGCAGCTGGATCCTGATGCACATGAGGCTGACTTTTCAACATCCTGGCTATTCAAACCCAAACCCTCTTCTTTATAAGTTTTTTCTCAGTCAGGTGTGTTGGTGTAGGCCTTTAATCCTAGCACTTAGGAGACAGAGGCAGGAGGATCTCGGTAAGTTCCAGGACATCTGGAGCTGTTACACAGAGAAATCCTGTCTCGAAAAACAAAAACAACAATTTTTTTTTTCTCAAGTTAAGTCCATGTGAATTGCTTGTTAGTTATCAACAAGAATTGCCAAGGACACATAGCATAGTCTTGACTGGGTTTGGACCTTTCTCTCTCTGAGGGCCTCAGTTTTCCTCCTGGGCCCTTCCTGCTTGGAGTGTGGGGCTATAGAGCTCACACTTGGGGAGGGCCACTGGCATAGGCAGCTGCTCAGCAGCCTTCCCAGAAGCCCCAGGGCACAAGCTCTCCCTGCATCCATGGACACTCTGGTACAAAGGCAGGGGCCGAGGGAGGCTATAGTCAGGAACAGGGCACACTGCTCCTGCTCTTTGTTTCTCAATTGCTCCCAAGCACCTTCTGGAGTAAGTCTAGACTTAGCAAGTACTCAGCGAGGAGTGGGAGTGTAGCTCAATTGGTAGGGTGCTTGCCTAGCACCCACAAAGCCGGGAGCCAGATTCCCATCTTCATGAGCCAGTGTGGTTGTACATGCCTATAATCCCAGCATTTGGGAGGTGGAGACAGGGGGATTAGAAATTCAAGGTCATCCTTGGCAATTTAGCAAGTTTCTTGCGACTTGGTTTAGGTCTATAAAACAACGGCAAAAATGAATGAAGGGCTGGGCCTTGGTGGCGCACGCCTTTAATCCCAGCACTCGGGAGGCAGAGGCAGGCGGATCTCTGTAAGTTCGAGGCCAGCCTGGTCTCCAGAGCGAGTGCCAGGATAGGCTCCAAAGCTACACAGAGAAACCCTGTCTCAAACCCCCTCCCAAAATGAATGAAGGAATAAATGCTCTTTGCTGTCACATACACCCCACCCCTGCACTGAACTCCCCGGGCCTACACTCAGGTAGCATTCTCCAGGACCTCTCCAGGGAATGTTTTTTTCCCATGATCCTCCCCCCTTTC